TAAGGAATAGAAGCATTCACTAAGATGTTGGGACAACACATCTCTTTGATTGTTTACATGCTGTAAAACAGAGATGTTCTAGGATGTTCTCTTCACAATTTTGTTTTGATATATGATATATGATGAAAGATGGAGAGGTTACCAAATAGCCTCCAAGTTGGAGGAACATTAGTTAACAGAAGCAAGGTTAACCCAACTGCACACTGAAATCACCTGGCTGACAAAGCTGGGTGTGTCACTTAGATTTCTCTTGCATTAAGTTGAGAAAACTGACATGAGAAAAAATGGAAGACATGGGCTCATGGTCTGGAAAAATCCAGAGATATATGTATTTGACTTTGGGTACAGCTTAATTCCAGCGAGGGAGGATGCCACTGGGCTCCTCCCTAGCTGTACTCCCTCCTAACTGTCTGTTTTGAAAATTCATGTGGTGCCCAGATGACTGTAGCTCCTCCAAGCCCTACAGACTCAAATTCACACACTTCCATAGCAAGAGGACAGCAAAATAAAACTGTCCCTGCAAATGTCCTAATACATCATACTGGCCCCAATCCCCAAACTGTCCCATATCTGAATTGATCACTACTAAAGGGATGGGAATCTAACTGATTAAACCATCCAAACTACATAACTAAAAAAGGGTGGTTTCTCGAAGGAGATCAGAGGATGTAACAGAAGAAAGGAGAAAGATATTTTTATTCAAAATAAAATGTTAACCCTATGCCACACTAGGAAAAAAAACAGCTATTTCCTAACCTTTCCTCTCCAGTATCATTAATTCTCACACTCAATTCAAAATCCAGTCCCTATGTTGACTATGAATCTGAAACCCATCAAACTAGTGATTAGAGTTGTAGCAAAAGTGATATAAAAGTAATAACAGCTAATATCTATCAAGTAATATTGGACCTAGATACTCTGTTAAGTATTTCACATGCATTATTTCATTAATACTCACCTAACCACAACTTAAAGATGAGGAAACTGAAGCTCAAAGAGATTAAGTAACTTGCCCGAGACACATTCTAAAAAGGTATATAAATTAATTTAAATTGAGAGCCAACTCAAAAACTATGTTCTTACCCAAAACACACACGAATGTTCCTCTGGATAATGCTCTTGCCTGTATCCCTGACCTACCCCTAAGCCAGTGATCTACAGTGCCCTTCCCAAACCTTATCACATTGGTGATACTATCGAAGTGCTACTAAAATCAGCAGCAACTACCTTTGGCCAGGTGTGATTCTTTTTGATTCAGAAAACATATCACCTTACACCTTGCAAACTATTTTACAATACTTGAAACAACAGTCCTGAATTCTGTGGGTAGTAGGAAGCAGGCTCTTACCCCACCCCCAGCCACCAGAGGAAGGAACTGACTTCATCACTCATCTGGACAGCAGCAGCAACCTGATCTCAATTACTCACTAGAAATGGTCTCATTAAAGAAAAATCCCATGTGCTTCTGCATTATGAACGTGCCAACAGACAGCTCAGTAGGAAACGTTTCCAAACAGCAAAATCATTAATCAGAAAATGACAATCTACACAGTAACAAAAAATCCCTTACAGGAAACATGGAAGTGAGCAAATTCACAAACCCTGTTGCAATGTAAAAGGTAATATAATTAATAATTTGTAATACCACAGGGGGAAATTTTTTATTAAATTTCTTACAATAATGTGATTGTACCTTTTGTTTCTGTTACTAGAAAGTTAGAAAAGGATCCATCTTTTTTAAGGAAAGTAAATGATTTTTTTGGAATTGCACAGAGACAAGCCCAAAGTCATAGAAGTGCTGTGGTTCTTAAAAGGGGATCCAAGCTCCCCTCAAACTCAGTTTAGGAATAAGACTCAGCAGTGTCAGACAAGGACTATCTCCATCAAGAAACCTGTTCAATATTCAGCAATCCTGAGAGAGTGTAGAATTTAACCTCAAGGCATCTGCTGCCCTAAAATGAGTTCAAGTTACTCACTCATTCCTTATTCCTGTGGGTGATTTTTTTTAATCAAAATATACACAAAGCATTCAGAACTATTCTAATTTTATTGACAGAGTTGAATCGAAATGAATACCCTATAACATTGAGTAAAGAGTTCAACTGAAGGAATCAAAAGTTACACTGAAAGACAAAATTTAAGTCCTTCTAGAGTTCCCAAAACATGTGCTCTTCATCAACCCATAAGTTAAAAGAAAAATTATCATTCCTGTTGATCAACACATTCCCAGGACTTTCCTAATTTCCAAAGGGAAACACCCATATCAAAGCCTCTCATAGGAATTTATGATTCAAGCAGAACCCTAAATCTAGCTTCTCTTTCTAAATATAATTGGATGCCAAGTGACAGATCACTTGTGCATTTCAATTTCATCAATATCCCTTTGGTCTTTCTCCTTGAAGTTCGTATTTTCCATGAGCACTCACACAATAGCAATTCCCAAAATAAAGGCAACAGACACGAAAAATACAGAAGTCAGAAGACCTGAGCTCCAGAGCCTGCTCTGTCCCCAAACAAGGAGACCTTAAAATTATCATTCTTCTTAGCTCCCTTAGTTTCCTCATCTGAAATTATCTCTTTCTCAAGACTATTATAAGAATCAGATGTGGTCAGTGATATGAAACATTCTGAAAACTTCAGAATGTCATAAAAATAATATTGTTATCACAATCAATACAGTCTTAAACCAAAAAAAGGTACTAAAGAGACATGAATCCTAGATTCATTATCTGTATAAACTGAGCAGAGAGGGGAGCACAGAAATATATTTTTCATGATAAGATAACTGAGAATTGAATAAAACCCCAAAGAATGGAGAGAAATAAAGCAGCCCATTGAACCTATTAAAATATACATTCACAATATGTGGAATTATTATGTCTCTGAATTAACACCCCTCATATTTTTTTCAAAATGAAGATTTAAAACTGCATTAATGTTCCCAGCTCCACCATTTACAAGCTAGGATGTATAAATAGGGACAACAGCAATACTCACATGGTGATACGGGTATAAGGGTTGAGTGGCTGTGTGCAAAGCCCTTTAGCACTGTGCCAACACATAGTGCCAGCTACTGGGAATATTTGCTCCATGGGATAGAAAAGAAGTATTAGCCAGATCTCGGTTCAAATTATTGTTCCATCTCTGCTGGATATGTGATTTAAGGCACAGGTTTCCCATAATGAGGAAAATAATAGTTCTCAGACTTCTTAGGGTTGTTATGAGGCTTTTAGAAATAATATATATGAAGACTGACAACAGATCTGGTATAGCCAAAGTGCTCAGTAACTGGGATATTGGTGGCTCTGTTTAGAGTGATAATATCTAACAGTAATACTAGTAAATTATGAAGCAGTGCCCCAAATTCTTTCATTTTATTGGTTTATTTAGAACTGTACCAACTACAGTTTGAAAAGACAGCTGCAATAATCTTGGCAGCAGTGAAACTGTATGTGATTTAAGTGTCAGGTATAGGATCAAGTTCTCAGCCACACTCTCAAGTTCAATTCTGCTTCAGACTCACCACTGCCAAATATTTTAAGCAGTTAGAAATTTATTCACCCTTGAGAAGCTACAGTTTGTTTCTTTACATTCAACTTTTTATTATCTCAATTATCCCACAAGGCTTCCATTGCCTCATCAATGAGCATGCTGCGTTATTTCACCAGAATGAGGCCTTGTGTTTCTAAGCAATTCCCAAGATCTCCCAGGCTCCATCAACACCAGTTCTTCTTACCAGCTTGAATGAAAAAATGAAGATCTCATGAAAAGCTTTGAAGTCAAGACTATTTTGTCATTTTTCATTTCCCCATCATTTTCATTTTACATTTCCCCAAAAGAGGTGAAGAAGAAACGAAAATCAAAAATTGTTTTAATGGGGGGAAGGCTAAAAGAATAGAAAAAGAAACATTTTTGATGATTTTCAGGACCAACAGCTTAGAGGATTAACCACTTCCCGGGGGTTCACACGGTGGCTTCCCCACATTTGCTGTAGTTCAGCATATAATACCCTATATTTCTGTCTCACTTTGTGTCATGTATTCCCAATGCCCAGCAAACCCATTCACTGCCTGGTGTTTTGCTTATAACTGAAACAGTATATCTATGAAATCAAATCAAATTATCACTCTCAAATAGCCTGGAGATGAAATACTAGCACCTGAATTACAATAGTAAGGGCAAACTTCTCAATATCACTTAGATTTTTTTTTCCTTCTTATGTGCTGATTTTCTTAATGCAATTATTTTATCCAGGATTGAAAACAATGTCACCTTAATTACCCGACTCTTCTATGGATTTTCACATGCAAGAAGTTTAATTGTGTATCCATTCACTTCAAAATATAGGACTGTAAATTTTGAAAGGATGACTCCTTTCACCTATCATACACAAGTATTTAATGTACACAGATCAGTAAACATGAAAGCAATTTCTGTGTGAAAAATATTGAAATCTGACAAATCCCCCATGATTCTGCTGAAATGCAAGTGGGAGGAGTTATTCAACAACCTCAAACATTTCAGTGATTCCTATTTTCTCCAAGCCATCTACCAAAGTGTCAAAACAGAGAGGACCACCAGGACATCCTTAACTTCCAAAAATTAGGAGCCTTTCAGATATTGAAAAGAGCAGAAGGAAAGAATACTGGACATCAGACTTGGACCCAACAAACTATCTAAAGGAAGTAAAAATGCAACCCTATCCTCTGAGATAACCAGCAGGAAAAATTGTATCTGGATAAAAGATGCCCCTTATACTATTTTAAATTAATACATAACCCTAATCTTATTTCAACAACTGTTGCTCCCATGTGTTTTGTTTTGGTTGGTTGGTTGGTTGGTTTTGACAAAATCACCTACATGTAAAATTTAATTATATAAGACAGGCATCTAGGCCCTAAAGTCACATGCCCCATGTCCTACTTCAATAAGATGAAACAATAAATATTTAATTAAAAGTTCTCCAATTGAAAATACATTAAAAAATAAAATGCAATTACCTTTCCAAAGTCACGAACATCAAACAAGTCAAATGCCTCAAAGAGTTCACTCTTTCTCATGCCAAATGTCTCACAGCAGGCTGTCAGGAATGTCCTTATGTTCTTCAGACAGAGAAACTGTGGAATGAAAGGTAGATGTTAATACAGAGTGAATCATCTGAATGCTAGCTATCCTCTGCCATGTGCAGAATGCTATAAAAACAAGGAATAAACAGTCAGCTGTGGGGACTGCTTTTCAATTACTCCTTCAGTATTTTTTTTTTTATTTATTTGTTTGTTTGTTTTGTTTATACATGCACTGGGTACAGTCAGAAGCGCGGGAGGGTGAGAGAATTCACCAGAGCCAGAGCGGGGAGCAGAGCAGGCAGAAGGACCGAAGTACACTGCTGAGGGGAGCAGCGGGCGGCAGGAGAGGTCTGCGCGCCATGTGGGACCCTCCTCTGGTGGCCGGGGAGCAGCCGAGGATCGAACCGGCGCTGCAGAGGCTGCGGGCAGCTTCGCAACCCAGCGCTCAACCGCCGCGCCACCGGGGAGGCCCACTCCTTCAGTATTTATTTAGTGCCCTTCACAGCACAGGTGATACCACTGTGAATGAGACAGACAAAATTCTCCCCTCATGAAGCTATCATTCTAGTAAGAGAAGACAGAAAAAAGAGGTAACTCAGCAACAAGAGCAAAAAAAAAAAGTCTTTATTTTCACACAGCGGTAAGTGAACTAGAGAAAATGAATGCCAGGAGAAGGGATCTGGATAGCTGGGGGTAGTTTCTGGGGACAGCATAAATGGGATGGTTAGAGACAACATCACTGAAGAGAAGATGGTTAAGCAGAGACGTAAAGGTGGTAAAGGAGACAGCCATACAGATTTACAGGACAGGAAATTCCAGCCTAAGGTCACAATGCAGACTTTAAGATGGCAGCATCAGAGGTGTGTCTCAGGCATAAGTGATAAATAATGTACGTTGGGCACAGTAGTGATAAGGAGTAAGTATAGCAGCAGGTCACTGATAGATAACGGGGTCACATAAAGACGTGCCTTGTGGGTCACTGATTTTACTCTGACTGAAAGGGAACTCACTGGCAGCTTCAGAGGCGGAGGAGGGATATGATCTAATAGTTTTAAGAGGGTCTTTCAGGCTGATATTTGAGTATTGAAGGAAAGGGGCTGGATCAGGGGTGGATACAGGGAAGTCAGAAATCTATTGCACCCATCCAGGTGAGAGATAACTGTGGTAAGACCAGGTGTTGCATTTTAACTACATTAAAAGTCAGATACCTCTTACTCATCCGATGGGGGTTGGGGGAACAGACACCTGGATATATGAGTGTGGAATTGTGCAGATATGTACTCCAGACATAAACTTGGAAGTTTAAGTATAAAGAATGCTTAACCATAAGATTGTTGGAGGTGACTTTAGGGGAAAGCATAAGGGACCTGGGGCCAGGTGACTTTAGGTGGGGAAACAAGGATGAGCTGCAAAGAGTCTGAAAAGGGTGACTGGAGAGGAAGGAGAACCACCTGGAGAATGTATTTTTCCTGACGCCAAGTACAGAAAATGTTTCAGGAAAGAGATAAACAGTCGGCTGCTGCAGATGATCAAGTAAGATTCTGATCAAGAGCTGTCCAGCAACTTGGCAGTGTGAAAGTCCCAGGTACCCCTCGACAAAAGCAGGTTCTGTGGGGACCCCCCCGGTGGCGCAGCAGGTTGAGCGCAGTGCTGTGAAGCTGTCCACAGCCTCCGCAGCACAGGTTTGATTCCCAGCCAGCCAGGGAGATATCCACATGGCGCGGCAGACCTCTCCTGTCTCACACGCTGCTCCCCTCAGCAGTGTTTTCAGTCTATCTGCCTGTTCCGTTCCCCACTCTGTCTCTGGTGAATTCTCTTACCCTCCTGTGCCTCTGGCCTGTATCCCCATTCTTGTATAAATAATTTTTTTAAAGTAGGTTCTGTGTTGAGGATGGAGATGAAAGGCTGCTTGGAACAGGTCCAAGTGACAACAGGAAGAGGAGAAGACATGATGATACAACAGCAGTGCTTGATATTTTTCTGCAAAGGGAAACAAGACTGAGGAGGTAGCCAGAGAGAAATACAGGTCAGGGACAGGTTCTTTGAAAACAATGGAAGTTGTTGAACATGTTTCTGTTTTGATGGAAGTAAATCTGGTAATGAAAGACAGCCCTCACCTCCCAAGCTGTTAGTGCAGGCCTTCTCAAGATGTGTCACTTTGGCATGTGGACTATTTGGAGTTGAGGTCAACTGAGGTTCTGCAGGCCCACAAGGAACTTTTACCACTTCTTTAACTACCCAGAGGAAGGAATTAGGGGTTTTATCAGAAATAACCTCTCTTTTAGAGAAAACTAACTATAGGAGGACAACATCTAATTACAGAGCATCTGGCCTTTGTCACTTAAGTCACACACCCCCACCTTTGTCATGCAAGCCCCTCTCTGCTCTCCCTGAAGCCCCAGACTCAACTCAGGATTTATACCCTCATTCACCTCACTGGTCTTGGAGCCCATATGTATGTGGATTACCCATACATATGTAAGTAAATTTGGGTCCTCCTGCCCACTACTGATCTGATACATAGCTGATTATTCCACCAGCCCAAGAAGTGCCTAGGGAGGTCAGGAGGGAATTTCCTTTCTATCCCTACAGGAGAAAGGGGAAAGCTGTCATGCAAGAAAGGACAGGGCCTCCCTGGTGGTGCAAGGGATTAAGTCTCAGCACTATGAAGCTATCCTCAGCCACTGCAGCACGAGTTCGACCCCTGGCCAGGGAGCTGACCCACATGGCACAGCAGACCTCTCCTGACTTGCCCGCTGCTCCCTTCAGCAGTCACCCCAGTGGAAAGTCACCCTAGAGGAAATCCTGAGGGAGGAGAGGGGAAGGGGCCAGTGCTCAAGTTGAGGAGAGGGGCGCAAAGAGCACCTCCACTCATCAACACTAACAGGAGGAGAAGAGAGAGCTTAGACAACACAAACACCAACAGAATTTACTTTCATTACGCAAAAAATTCAGATTGAAGCAAAACTCAGATTGAAGCAAAATACAAACATACACTGAAAGCAAAATTAATCTTTTTGGAAACATTAGCCGCGATGCACACAAATAAAAAAAATATTAATCTTCAATAAATGAGAGTCCTGTTTTTCATAAGCACTGTATATGTTTCATTTTTGTTTTATTTTTTATCTTCTTTTCTTTTAATTTGCTGAAACCTATTTTATTTCCTCTGCATCTGAAGCATTCAGCTTTTTCACAGGCTTAACTCAGACACAGTTTTTACCCTTTACAGGAATCCTCAGAGGTTTAAATATTTCAGGAGGGGTTAAAAACACACGGGAAGCATCATCAACCATTGCAGCAGCCAATCGGCACACACAGTTGCTGCTCCCACTTTAAAAAATTTATAAGAGACCTTATGACACAATCACTCTGCATGTAGCTCTTCCACACAGAATTGCTTATTTACAGATTAAAAGCCTTGCATTCTGCCAAGATAGACAATAATTACTCTCTTGGGAATTATGCAACTGCCCTCTTGCAATATTTTTTACATAATTAAGTGCCCAACTCATAGCTCATCAAGGAACAAAGCATAATTGCACATGCCACCCTCTGAAGATTCTCATCAAATCTCCCCCCCCACTGGCTGCCCCTTCCATGTAGGAAAAACTACAGAGACTTCCAATAAACAGCCTTGATCGCTAATTCAGAAAATAAAGTGTTATTACTGAAAGCAAAATAAATATATATAGGAAATGTGGTCATCATTACATGTATACAAGAGATCTAAAAACAGACTACCCCTCACTTCTAGAACCAACCTTAACTTTATTTGCTCCTTAACTATCTCAATTTCATTAAATTCAATATATATATATATATATATATATATTGAATTCAACTGTCAAGCCTAAAGTTAAAAGAACAGTATAATGAACACTATCTACTCAACAACTATAACATACTGCCATGTGTACTTTTGTGTTCCAACCCTTTCTCTATAAAATTTATTTTGCTGAACATTTTGGAAGTAGACATTATGGCATTTCACTAATAAATAACTGAAAGTGCAACTCATAGGAATAAGGACATTTTCCAATATACCCACCCACAAAACCATTGCCAGATCTAAGAAAATTAAAAACAATTCATGTTACCTAATATCCATTCCATCTTCTAATTTCCTCAATTGGCTAGCTAGTGTCTTTTTACGCTATTTTCCTCCAATCTAGGATCCAATTAAATTCTACCCATTGCATTTTGGTTACTTTATCTTTGCAGTATCTTATAGTCTAAAAATCCCTCTTTTTTTAAAAATGACATTTTTAAGATTTCAGACTGGGCCTTATAGAATGTTCCATATTCCTATTATTTCCCCCAGGGTATCATTAAACCTCTCCCTCCAATCTTTCTGTAAACTTAAAGCTAAATCTAGATTCAAGTTCAACAGCTGTGGCAAAAATACTTCATTCTGTACTTCAGAACTTCATATCTAACCACATCCGAAGGCACTAAATGTTAGGTTATTCCATTATTATTGACACTTAGTTTGATCACTTGGTTAAGACTGCCACTGCTACAGCTCTATTATAAAGATTTGGGTTCCCCGCTACCTTCTACATCACCACAAAACCTGAGGTGTTGACTTGGGTCCATGTTGCTGTCCTATTTCCCAATAACTTTTCATCATAAATTTAGTATCCACTGATAACTCTTCTTCCACTTATTCATTTGGAGCTGCAAAAGAGTTATTTTTTTTTTAATTCTATGATCCTATCCACATTTATTAGCTGGCATTCTTGCCTAAAGGAGAGCTTCCTCATTCCCTCCCACACCCACCTCTTCTGCTTATGTAATAAATCAGTTGCCATCATTATTCTTTTATATATTTATATTGTCCCAAATTTGGCTTCAGGGGATCTTGAGGTGCAAGGATGTTCTAGCTAAGGAGGACTATGCACACAAGAAAAAGACACGACAAACAAATGGGCTACTGGAAGCAGTGGAAGTGGTTTGAAAGGACCAGAACAGGGACAGTGAGAGCAAGACTGGAGAGGGACTTACATGGCATGCCAAAGGGAATTGGGCCTTATTCTGGAAGAAGTGGT